GAATCACAATAACAAGAATACCAGCTGGAGTCAAAAATAGGTTAGAATCCCTTTCTGTGGAGATAAAAGAAGTAAAAGCTACTCAGGATGAAATAAAAATGCCATAACTGAGCTCCAATCTTGAATGAAGTCTATGGCGGCAAGGATGGATGAGGCAGAGGAGAATCAGTGATATAGAGGACAAACTTACGGAGAATAATGAAGCAGAAAAAAAAGAGGGAGACTAAGGCAAAAGAGCACGATTTAAGAATTAGAGAAATCAGTGACTAATTAAAAAGGAACAACATGAGAATCATAGGGGTCCCAGAAGAGGAACAGAGAGAAATAGGGGTAGAAGGGTTATGTGAGCAAATCATAGCAGAAAACTTTCCTAACCTGGGGAAAGACACAGACATCAAAATTCAGGAAGCACAGAGGACTCCCACTAGATTCAACAAAAACCGACCATCAACAAGGCTATCAGAGTCAAATTCACAAAATACTCAGGCAAGGAGAGAATCATGAGAGCAGGAAGGGAAAAAAAGTCCCTAACCTACAAGGGAAGACAGATCAGGTTTGGAGCAGACCTATCCACAGAAACTTGGCAGGCCAGAAAGGAGTGGCAGGATATATTCAGTGTGCCGAATCAGAAAACTATGCAGCCAAGAATTCTTTATCCATCAAGGCTGTCATTCAAAATAGAAGGAGAGAGAAAAAGTTTTCCAGACAAACAAAAATTAAAGGAGTTTGTGACCACTAAACCAGCCCTGCAAGAAATATTAAGGGGGACTCTCTGAGAGGAAAAAAGATGAAAAACAAACAAACAAACAAAGACCAAAAGCAACAAAGACTAGAAAGGACCGAAGAACACCACCAGAAACTCCAACTCTACAAGAAACATAATGGCAGTAAATTCATATCTTTCACTACTCACTCTAAACATCAATGGACTCAATGCTCCAATCAAAAGACACAGGGTAACAGAATGGATAAAAAAACAAATCCATCTGTATGCTGTTTACAAGAGACCCACTATAGACCCAAAGACACCTTCAGATTGAAAGTAGGGGATGGAGAACCATCTATCATGCTAATGGTCAACAAAAGAAAGCCAGAGTAGGGGCACCTGGGTGGCACAGTCGGTTAAGCGTCCGACTTCAGCCAGGTCACGATCTCGCGGTCCGTGAGTTCGAGCCCCACGTCAGGCTCTGGGCTGATGGCTCAGAGCCTGGAGCCTGTTTCCGATTCTGTGTCTCCCTCTCTCTCTGCCCCTCCCCCGTTCATGCTCTGTCTCTCTCTGTCCCAAAAATAAATAAATAAAGATAAAAAAAAAAATAAAAAAAAAAAAAAAAAAGAAAGCCAGAGTAGCCATACTTATATCAGACAATCTAGACTTTAAATAAAGACTGTATCAAGAGATGAAGAAGGGAATTATATCATAATCAAGGGGTCTATCCACCAAGAAGACCTAACAATTGTAAACATTTATGCACCAAATGTGAAACACCCAAATATATAAACCAACTAATCACAAACATAAAGAAACTCATTGATAGTAATACCACAATAGTAGGAACTTCAACACCCCACTCACAACAATGGACAGATCATCTAATCAAAAAATCAACAAGGAAACAATGGCTTTGAATGACACACCAGATCAGATGGACTTAACAGGTATATTCAGAACATTTCATCCTAAAGCAGCGGAATATACATTCTTCTCCAGTGCACATGGACCGTCCTCCAGAATAGACCACATACTGGGACACAAATCAGCCCTCAACAAGTACAAAAAGATCGAGATCATACCGTGCATATTTTCGGACCACAATGCTATGAAACTCGAAATCATCCACAAGAAAAAATTTGGAAAGGTAACAAATACTTGGAGACTAAAGAACATCCTACTAAAGAATGAATGGGCTAACGAAGAAGTTAAAGAGGAAATTAAAAAGTTCATGGAAGCCAATGAAAATGATAACACCACAACCCAAAACCTCTGGGATGCAGGAAAAGTGGTCATAAGAGGAAAGTATATAGCAATCCAGGCCTTCCTAAAGAAGGAAGAAAGATCTCAGATACACAACCTAACCTTATGTCTTAAAGAGCTGGAAAAAGAACAGCAAATAAAACTCAAAACCAGCAGAAGACAGGAAATAATAAAGATTAGAGCAGAAATTAATGCTATCGAAACAAAAAAAAACAAACCCCAAACAGTAGAACAGATCAATGAAACCAGGAACTGGTTCTTTGAAAGAATTAACAAAATTGATAAACTACTAGCCAGTTTGATCAAAAAGAAAAAGGAAAGGACCCAAATAAAAAACATCAAGAATGAAAGAAGAGAGATCACAACCAACACAGCAGCAATAATAAGAGAATATTATGAGCAATTATATGCCAATAAAATGGGCAATCTGGAAGAAATGGACAAATTCCTAGAAACATACACCACCAAAACTGAAACAGGAAGAAACAAAAAATTTGAACAGACCCATAACCAGTAAAGAAATCGAATTAGTAATCAAAAATCTCCCAACAAACAAGAGTCCAGGGCCAGATGGCTTTCCAGGGGGAATTCTACCAAACATTTAAGGAAGAGTTAACACTTATTCTCTTGAAGCTGTTCCAAAAAATAGAAATGGAAGGAAAACTTCCAGACTCTTTCTATGAAGCCAGCATTACCTCGATTCCAAAACCAGACAGAGACCCCACTAAAAAGGAGAACTATAGACCAATTTCCCTGATGAACATGGATGCAAAAATCCTCAACAAGATATTAGCCAACCGGATCCAACAATACATTACAAAAATTATTCACCATGACCAAGTGGGATTTATACCTGGGATGCCAGGCTTGTTCAGTATCTGGAAAACAATCAATGTGATTCACCACATCAATAAAAGAAAGGGCAAGAACCATATGATCCTCTCAATAGATGCAGAGAAAGAATTTGACAAAATACAGCATCCTTTCTTGATAAAAACTCTCAAGAAAGTAGGGATAGCAGGAGCATACGTTGGGATCATAAAAGCTGTATATGAATGACCCAATGCTAATATCATCCTCAATGGAGAAAAACTGAGAGCTTTCCCCCTAAGGTCAGGAACAAGACAGGGATGTCCACTCTCGCCACTGTTATTCAACATAGTACTGGAAATCTTAGCCTCTGCAGTCAGACAACACAAGGAAGTAAAAGCATCCACATTGGCCAGGAGGAGGTCAAATTTCACTCTTTGCAGATAACATGATACTCTATATGGAAAACCTAAAAGATTCCACCAAAAACCTGCTAGAACTGATTCATGAATTCAGCAAAGTTGCAGGGTATAAAATCAATGCACAGAAATCGGTTGCATTCATATACACCAACAATGAAGCAACAGAAAGAGAAATCAAGGAGTTGATTCCATTTATAATTGCACCAAAAACCATAAAATACCTAGGAATAAATCTAACCAAAGAGGTGAAAAATCTATACACTGAGAACTATAAAAAACTTATGAAAGAAATTGAAGAAGACACAAGAAAATGGAAAAAGATCCCATTCTCTTGGATAGGAAGAACAAATATTGTTAAAATGTTGATACTACCCAAAGCAATCTACATATTCAATGCAATCCCTATCAAAGTAACACGAGCATTCTTCACAGAGCTAGAACAAATAATCCTATTTCTAGAAAGTCCTTCTAGAGGTCTGACCTTTAACTGGCCGTGGTCAGTGCTCACATACACTTACCATCATCAGCTGCGTTCCTGGGCATCAGTGGCCAGGTGAGCAAGGCTCCCAGGTGTCCCTTTATCGGCTGGAGGTTGCCATGGCCAGCTTGCTCAACCCAGCTCAGGGGAAGCAGCCCAGATGACTACTGAAGGGCCTCAGTAGGAATATGCCCCTTTGTATAGGTTAAGTCTTAGGATCAAGTAGATGCGAGTAAGACCAAGACTCTGCTCCCGTGACCCAGGCTCTTGGTGCCCTTCCTGGTCAGGTCCTTGGCTCCCTTGATCTGTGCCATGGCGTGGGCACAGTAACAGGGAACACACTGGAAAGCTGGCCAGGGGCAGACCCATCCCTTCAAACCTGTGGAACCCTGGCCAGTCCCAACCACCTGCAGATCTGAAGGCATGGAGGGAAGACCCAAATCACTTTGAGAGGCCAGCTCCAAAAATGAGACTCTTGTGGACCTGTAGCCTGATGGGCTCATGGACTCAACAGGGAATAAGGACTCCTAGGTGTCTCCTAACGGACTGATACCCTGTCCTTGAGGACTAGCTGTCTGTCAAATGGGAGCTAAAAAGTCAGTGCTGGTCTTCTCCCAAAACGAGGTCACACAGGTATCCCTGATTATATGATACCCTAGTCAGCCCTCCCAACACAGTCCTGCAAAAGCAATCCTGTAACCTTGAGCCCTGCCTTCATAGGCATATGCCCACTTTGCAGGTTAGGGTTTTGAGCAAGACAAATGCCTTGTGTCTCCATGATTCCGCTCCTGTGACTGATCTTTCCGATCTATTGTCTGTTCCACATCCCAAGTGATTACTGATCTGCTCTGAACACCCATGGCAGTATGTACCCCTTCAGCTTGCCTTAGGGATTGGGGCCTCTAGCACTTTAGGCCTGGGGTGACCCACAACCACCTGTGTATTTGCCATTGTAGCTGGTCCCCATCCCTTAAAAATCACCCTGAGACTGCTTCTGCTAATTTGCTATAGTCAGTGCCCATTTGAACTTGCAGCCTAATAGAGTCTCCACCTTTTCCAGTAACTGGCTCTCCCTGGTGTCTCTTTTTAGATGACACCCTGGCCAGTCCTTGTGGCCCCATGCTAGCAAGACCAGCCTGTGCTGAGCAGCACCCTGTTCCCGGTCCTGAGCTACCCTGAACTACTGGGCAGATGCATGCACAGTGTGCAACCTTAAATCCTGCCTTAGGCAGTGGGGCTTTCTAGGCCCAACCACCTCATGATCTCCAGAGTGGAGGGGCCCATCCCCTGAAAATCACCTTGAGGTGGCAGCTACAAAATGATGACAGTCTGTCCCCATTTGGACTCGCTGCCTGATGTAGATCTAGGCTTCTCCAGCAGCCAGGGCTTCCAGTGGTCTCTTACTGGTCAACATTCTGACCAGCCCACCTTACCCAGCCCTGGCAAGTCAGTTGAGTTCCTTCTAGATCTGTTGTCAGGAGAAATGGAGGATATTGGGTAGGTTAGTGCTTAGAATTGAGCAGATGCCTGTTTCCTCATTAGTTTTCTCTTTTCTAGTAATATCATATTTTAGATTATAATTTTGTGTTTGAAAACAATTTTTTTTATAGCATAGGATCATATCCTAAAAAATGACAAATATAACCAGGCAGAAATTTATGTGGTATTTTTCCTGAGGGGAAATCATTATATGTTTCAGAGTAAATTGGGCCATAAGTAAAGGTGGCTCGAGGCACATTAGTTATAGAATATATAAATACTAAGAATTTGCTTTAACCCTTTTACTAGATACTGAGTAGTGAATGCAATGAAGTATTGTGAAACTACTGAGGGGAATTATTTAGGGATTTTTGTATAACTCTTTGAACTTTGTTATTTAACTGGATGGCAACAATTAACTAGTTTCACTGTAATGCACTTACATTCAGGGTCTCACTTGCTAACTGCTAATGAAGTAGATTTACAACCCCAAACAACTCAACTGGAAAACTGTATTAATTTATCATTGAGAATATCTAATATGTGATTACTAGTCAATGTCATTCTCATCTTGTGGGTTTCTTGCTCTCATGGACAAGGTAAGTTGAAACAGTTTTCAACATTCAGCTTCCCTCTTAAATATAACTGTCTGCTTTCATGTGGGTATATTTTTGATTGGATTGACAGGCAAGAATAGTCTGAATTGTTAGTTAGTACTAAAGAATACGTTTGTGTAAAAATTGTTACATATTCACCTAAGGGTAACGTAAAAAATATGTTTTCTGTTTTCTGAGTTCTACAGTGTGAAAGGCCAGTTAACATTGATTATGGAGATCTGTAGATATGTTCATGGAAACTTAACTAGAAAATAAGACACAAACAAGCTGGATTGTAACTTCAAAATGTATCTGGGATTCTTATATATAATACAAGGAAACTTTGGGAAGTGACAGATACCCTCATAATCTCATATGTGATGATGGTTTTATATGTCAAACCTCATCAAGTTGTGCATTTTAAATACATACAGTAATTTAAAATATTATTCTATTTCAATTATACCTCAATTCATCTGCTAAAACTCCAGGAACATTGCCATCAGTTTAATATTTTATTTTATTTTTCAGCGTTTATTTATTTTTGGGACAGAGAGAGACAGAGCATGAACAGGGGAGGGGCAGAGAGAGAGGGAGACACAGAACCAGAAACAGGCTCCAGGCTCTGAGCCATCAGCCCAGAGCCTGACGCGGGGCTCGAACTCCCGGACCGCGAGATCGTGACCTGGCTGAAGTCGGACGCTTAACCGACTGCGCCACCCAGGCGCCCCTCAGTTTAATATTTTAGTAAAGTTAGCTATGTGTAGTAGGTGTATCTCTTTTAATAAAATGTAGAGTGTATTCTTAATTTCCAGTGTAATGCCCACACATTTTAATTCGTTTTCTGAGACCATTGGCAACTGTTGAAAATAAAAGAAAATTTAAAATCATTTCTATTACTAAAATGATAAATTCTTCATGTGGTTTTTTTAAAAGTCTGTCATTTTCTTTTGTTATCCAGTCTTCTATTTCCAAGCTACTGTAAATGAAACCTCTAATGAGCTTATGGTACCTCATTAAATACCAGGTACAAGCAGACTATACATCACTGAGCATTCTTCATTTCATAATTTGTTGCATGCTGGGTTTTGTATGTTAGTTAAATCTATATTTGGGAAATTTCCTTCATTATCAACAACAATGAAAAACAACACAATAAAGCTTCCTGTCCAGTCCTAAGTGTTTCAATGAAAAGTACCCCAGTTCACCAGTAGGGAGGGCTCTATCATCAGTGTGCTTGCTGACCAGCTGGGAAGATGTGTCATTTGATGGTCTTTTCCTCCTGACTCCCAACTGTCTGTTAAATGCTCTGATCCCCTAGATCATATTAGAATTGGCATTAAAAGGATATTTCTAGGGTTGCCTGAGTGGCTCAGTCGGTTGAGCGTCTGACTCTTGATTCGGCTCGGGTCACAATCCCAGGGTTGGGGGATCGAACCCCATGTTGGGGTCTGCACTGACAGTGAAGAGCCTGCTTGGGATTCTCTCTCTTCGTCTGTCCTTTCCTCACTTGCCAGCTCATGTGCGTGCACTCTCTCTCTCTCTCTCAAAATAAATAAATAAACATTTCTTAAAAGAGGATATTTCTAGACAAGAGAAATAGCAGAGGAAAGGGAATATGCAGACATGAAAGTTAAATGTAAAACCTGAACAAACCTTTACCCCACATTCCAGTTGAAAACTAATCTTGTTTTAGGAGCTAGTGAATTCTTTCTAAAAGGGGTCTTTGAGCTAAATGTCCTACACATTTATGCTGCACCTATGTTTGCATAGGTGTTCCATTAAAGAGGTTGGAAAGGGAAAGAAATCCATGACCATGCCCCACAGCACTTTACTTAAAAAAGAAAAACATTTAATAAGGAGTAAATCTATGTGAGGTAAGAGTTTTCACCTTCCTTTTTTTAATTTGGTGTCTAGAGATTTAACTTTCTTATGAGAACAACTATACATTTGAGATAATGCGAGTACTATTCTTCCTGGCTGGTAGGTGCTTCACCATCGCAGATTTCTTAGGACAGCCTAGTCTTCCATCTGATAGATATAGAAAACCATACCTCTTTTAAAAAATTAAAATTCACAGAGCTTTAAATTAAAATTTCACAGAGATTAGTCATTTGTGCTTCGTGACTCATTCTCATCATGTTTGTGTCATTTGTGTGGCTGATTTTCAATTTTTAAAAATATGAAGTTAATAACTATTAATAATGTGTAAACTCGCTTAAACAAATTAGCCAAAGTGAAAGCTAGAACCCCTACAAAAATTCCCCTATTGTTAATTATATGGTGACTCATGAATCACCTTCTCCTCCCCTTCACTTGGAGTAAACACCACCCAGTATTTCCTAGTCATTATTTCCTTGTTTTCTCTCTATACACCATGCTTGCCTCTGCATATATTCCTAGAAAGTCTATTTTATTTTAATTCTTTTTAATTTTATCAAGGTGGGTTCATCCAGTATGCACATTTTGGAGCATCAGTTTTTACAAGTGATATTTGTTACATTCCGAAGTATCACCTGCATTTTAATGCAGCATTACAGGAGTTGTTTGTCTGTATATCATCTACAAAGCAATGCACTTCTAAAGCCAAAAAAAATTAGTTGTTGATATAAAAGGTATTTCTCAGAAAAACACTTACACAATGTTATATATCTATTATATCTCAATAGAGCTCAAAAAAGAAATCTTAACATTAAATTATTTAAAAAATAGCACAAAGGAAGTCAAAGATCATCAATAAAGTTAATTCTAAATTTTAAGCTAATGTATATTGTTTTGTGACGTTTCAAATCACCAAAGGTAAAAAGAACATTCTTAGAACTCAAATAACCATGTTATCTACAAAAAACAGCTCACAAAAACTAAAAACTTCCCTAACATATACAATAGAAGACAATTAGTGAGGATTCAAAAAGATCTATTACATTTAGAAATATACCACATTCAGGAATAGGAAGGCACAACATTATAAGGCTATGAATTTTTTATAAATTATGAAGTTTAAAGGTAATTCTAAATGAAAATAAATAAGGCTATTAAAAGGAACTTGATAAGTTGATTTAAAAGGTATATGGAAGATCAAAGACTTACCCCCTTCCCAAGAGACAAATAAGGAAAAAAGATTCAGATGAAAGCCCACGAGCAGTTTTCTATACTTATGACAAATAATAGCTTACATTCTATCCTGTGATCTATCCTGTAGAATGTGCATGTGAGCTGAGAAGGATGTGTATTCTGTTTCTGTTGGATAAAATGCTCCCTGTTTGTTTATAAATTCCATCTGGTCTAAAATGTAGTTTAAGTCCAATGTTTCCTTATTGACTTTCAATCTAGATTATCTATCCATTGTTGATAATGCAATACTGATGTTCCCTGCTATTAGTGTATGGATTATATCTCCCTTCAGATTTATTTGTAATGCTTAGTGTATTTAGGTGCTACAATGTTGGGTGCATATATATTTACTATTATATATCTTCTTGATGAGTTGAAGACTCATTCTTATCATTGATGATAAAACTCATTCTTAATCATTCTTATTACATGATCACCTGCTTTGTTTCTTATACTGTTTTTTTTTAAAGTTTATTTATTTTGAGAGAGACAGAGAGAAAGAGAGGGAGAGAGAAAGAGAGAGAATGAGCAGGGGAGGGGCAGAGAAAGAGGGGGACAGAGGATCCAAGGCAGGGTCTGTGCTGACAGCAGAAAGCCTGATGCAGGGCTTGAACTCATGAACTATGAAATCATGACCTAAGCTGAAGTCAGGCACCCCTCTTGTACTATTTTTAAGTTAAAGTCTGTATTATCTGATATAAGTATAGATACCCTTGCTTGTTTTTGGATTTTACTGGTATAGAATATCTTCTTCCATTCCTACACCTTGATTCTATGTGTATTGATAAAGTTGAAGTGGGTGTCCTGTAGGCAGTATATTCCACTGCCTTTTCTATAGCATATACATATACACCACTCTATGCCTTTTCATTGGAAAATTAATCCATTTATAGTTAAAATAATTATTTATAGGTAAGGATTTATCAATGTCATCTTATTAATTGTTTTGGGGTGGTTTGCAGTTCCCTTATTCCTTTCTTCCTCTCTTACTGTTTTCCTCTGTGGATTAATAATTTTTCACCTTGGTATCTTTTGAATCCTTTCTATCTTTTGTATATCTACTGTAGGTTTTTGCTTTGTGGTTACCATAAGCCTGCTTCAAATATCTTATAGATATAACACTGTATTTTATACTAATGACAATTTAGCTTCTATTGTGTATAAAAATTCTACCCTTTACTCATCCCAATATTATATGTTTTTCATGTCAAAATTTCTTTTTATATTTTGTATCATTAAGTATTGCAGGTATA